GGGGGGTCATGACCCCCCCAATAATCAGATCCAGCCAATATAACCCCCCCAATAATCATGTTTCCCCAGTAATGGGTGGAGACCTCGACCCCCTCAGTGTTCCAGCCAAAGTTACGCCCTTGCATAGTTCTCAGAATGTGTTCAGACCTCATTAATGTTACTTCTCTCACTTTCAAGGACCAACTCCAAGGCTCATGGAAAGAGCTGTAAAAATATTGACATTTTTAAAGGAATATGTTAATTTGAGGGTGATTGATGATGTTGATAATAAACATCCATATGGTTAATTATCTCTGGCATTGAAGGTTGTGTAACTGAACCACAGTAGTGTAGCTCTGCAGATCACTGAGACTACAGTGTAACTCACATTGGTGCCATCTGCAGAATCCTAGCAGCAACAGGTGGAACCAGGCAGGAGCGTAGCAGTTACGGCCCACTCTACTTGTGGCTCTCACATTGTTGATTTCCTACAGATTATGATGATTACTCACAAGCACACTTTCGAAAAGATGTGCCCTTGTGATGTTTACTCCGTGAGCAATTAGCAGTGGATTACAGCAGTGGCTAACAAGCACACTTGATAAGATGGTGGCAGTCACTGTGGCTTATTTATGGCAAATTACAGAAAAGCCTGTCACAGTGTACACTCCGTCCCTGCTGTGGCTCTGGGCTCTGCAATGTGTATTTAGGGTTGATGGGACAGATCATTTATCTGACTGCCAGTTTCTGCGATTTTCAGCAGTAGGCAGACCATTCCACACTAAGGAAACAAGATCCAGAGATGAGTATGGGGGTGTTTGTCTGTACTGCATACAGTATGGGCTGAGAGTAGCTGCGGGTGTATGACCTCCCTCTAAACGGTGCCAAGAACACCTAGGTTTTTGTGGGTTTGAAAAGATCATAGTGACACGGTCATCTCTCACATGTGATCTTACTTTCTCCAGGGAAATGGAAGGTGAGCTGGAGACTGTTTGGGAAGCCACATCCAAGGAGAACCAGCGCATCAAAGAGGCTCTGTTCCAGTCACTGTCCTGGGCTGAGCGGATGCCCACCCCTGCAGAGGCTACGATGCTGAACTTCACGGAAGGGCCACTCCCAGGCCGGACTTCCCGGAGTACTGACCTACCACTCGCTGCTTCAGGCCAAGGCAGGACCAAACCCCTGCTTCAACGCAGCCCTATGTTTGAGTCCGACTCGGACCACCCACACAACCAGTCATCCGATGAGGGAGAGAAGAATTGCCTGGATTTCTATTCATAAGCTTCCTTTTGCACTAGATTCCAGCTCCTTTCCAGAACACAATTCCAGACTTTTCAGGTGGAATGGCAAGACAGCAACTACAACAACATCACACTCTATATGACATGCTTTAAGTGCATTATTAACTGCAGTACCATCACAAATGCTAAGCTTTCCTTTTAGTCTAGTTGAAGACTATTTTCCAAATTGAAGAGAAGCCAGGTTTCAAGTGAGGTGATTAAAAAGGATTATGTCAGAGGAGTAGCTGTCCCACACTGGTCACACGGTAGACTGACGAAGTGAAGATCAAGCTTGACCTTATAAATGTAAAGGTGTCTGAGAAAACCAAGGACATTTCACACTTCCATTCATTCCTCAGGTGCATGATTTTGTCCAAAAAGACTACAGTACAGGTTTCTGCCTCAGAAAACAAGAATGACTGTTTTGTGCAGCACTGGATCAAAACGCACAGTGATGCAAGAAGCACGATGACAGAAAGCATGTGAAGTAATAAGTGCCACAAACACATTTACAAAAGCCATGACTAAGCAAGGGAGGGGAACCCGAACACATTGCAATGGAGAACCAGTTTATCATTTTATATTTCACTGCAAATGAACAGTATCGGGCTTTTAATTACTCACTGCTACATTTCAAGTTTATTGGTTATCTTTTGAGTACATACTGATTACCTCACTCTCTTTGGTCCACCCCACCCAGTTTTTGAGGGATTTTGAATTAGTAATTAATCCTCATTGTGTTTCCCCCGTCAACACTCATCACAGCTCAGCACACACCTCTTACACTGTGGGCGCTGGCAGTCATCCTGCAGGCTTCATCAAATGGAATGAAGAGCCACGAGGGGAAAGCATGGCTGTCGTGCAGAGTTTGGTCACTGGTCCTGTCAGATTGGCACAGAAGCAGAGATCAGATCAGAGATCAGATCAGAGATCCTACCAGCCAATCTTCTTCTAGCCACTTATTCTGGTCCAGCTGCTGCTACAGGTTGTTGAGGCTCGACTCCAGACCCCTCTCTGTGTTCCCATCCCATGAGGCACAAGAAGTTGCTCATGGTCAAAATGCGAAGATGCAATCCATTGGCCTGGGGCAGAGCCCAGGAGCTGTGAAGAGTCAGCCTGGGAGTACTGCTGCCTCACCGTCCCCTGAGGCCTGGGGAAATTCCGGAGGAATGGCTTGATGACAGGCCAGGAGTTTCAGATCATCGTTTCCTTGATCTAAGGCGGCGATTTATCCTCCAATCAGCTGCTCCTTAGTGAACGTAAATAGGTTGGATGAGCGCATTTACTTCAGGTTGGAGCCTAAAGATAATCCTACCTGTAGGTCTGAACCAACAGCTTCGTCCCCAGTACAGGGAAAGCTGATGCTTCACAGGCAGGTGAATGTTATGCTTTCAGCAGAGCTCTCCCTCTGGAGAGATACATGCTTCAAAGTGCACACACATCTGGGAAGTCTTACACAAAGAACCTGGCTCCTCACCTTCCCCCCGCCTCATGTTACCTGTGGATTCGGCGCAAAGCATTCTGGGAGAAAAACAGACTACATATGCATGTGTGTGTATTCACATGAAACAGCCAAGCCGCTGGCTGCTGTGTGACATTTCAGTGCTACAGCTCCAGCTCGTCCTATCATTCTAAATAAATATTCACCTCCCGCAAGGTTAATGTTACGCTCATTTACGTTACTCTATCTCTTTGTCCTGTTTGAGGATCTGATTCCTGCTATCTTTCATTTCCTCTACCCTTCTAGAAGCTCAAACGGGATCCTTACTGCAGATTTAGGGTAGTGCACTTGGGGTTACTGTTCTCTGATGTTCAGGTCGGATTCTGCCGTCCTGGATCAGAGTGTGCCGTTTGACACGACCTGCTGCTGGGTTGCTCAGTGTGGCATTCAGCAAAGCGCAGTGGCTTCAGACCAAGTCGGGCCACGTGAGGTGAGAGGCTCACTGCGACAAGCTCTACCTCCTGCTCACTGCGACAAGCTCTACCTCCTGCTCACTGCGACAAGCTCTACCTCCTGCACAGAACATAACACACAGAGGGTATTGCCACCAAAATCTCTGTTAAGAGCGCTGATCTCTTCCGTGAGAGCAGCTTTCTCTCCGCTGAAGATCTGCCGTCTTTCCTGCATAATACAGTTACTGATAACAAAACGTGGGACTGATTATGAAACCCGCAGGGGTTCCAGTCACAGACAGCAGAGCCCCCTGTGGTGACATAATGACTGAGAAAAGGGTAAAGCGGAAATATGTAAAACAACAGAGGGCGCCCCCGATAGCCCCCTGCTGCTCTGCCACCTCATCCGCTCATGGGCTCCCATACTTACGGATGCCCGAGGTCCTGTTTTAAAGAGTGGAGATCCATCATTGTCCAAGGAGCTCTGATACGGGGGGGTTCGCTGAAGTAGTACCTTTGTATTGATTCAGGGTATTGCTTTCATGGATAGTGTTCCCTGTGGATCCTCCATATTATATAACATCTCAAAGCTCCTAAGTAGTTTGATAGTGCTTTCTTACACATTTTGCTTTTTGGTTTTTTTTTTTATTTATTTAAAAATGGATGAATGAAGAAAGACATAAAGGAAACATTTTAGGTCGGTGTGCCGATGAAGTAAATATGCAGCATTTCGCATTTTTCTGCCGGAATCCTTCACTGACTTTAATAAATGGTTTTCCTCAATTTACATAGTTATGGAGGAAATGCAGCATAAGAGCCCAGTCTGAAGAGGGAAAGAGAAGATTATGGGCAGGGGTGTATATTCATGGGTGGTGTATATAAACTGTCAATGCTTTTGGTTTAGGGAAAACTTTAATTAATAAATGTCCTTTTCTATGAGAGGGATAATATATTCACCAAGACTTCATTTTTCACCAAAGCATGAGTGATGTCCCTACATTTTTTAGTCAAACATCTTTTTTGATGCACCCCCCATTCACCATGGATGATCATGCACCCCTCAAAAGACCCCCCAAGAATAAACTTATGACCTGTTTCTGAATTCCCCGGATTGCATGGCTCTGTCTCATTCTGCACAGGAGGAAACTGAAATGGCAAACTGATCATTTTAAAAACATGAGGACAGTGGTGACCTTTGAGTTCCTGCGTGTGTGTGTGTGAAAGAGAGACGGAGACACAGATAGATGTCCACATCCCTGGCCAAGAAGGACAGAGCCAATGAACCAGAATTCCATGCAAAGGCAAACATTTGCATATGTTACTCAAACCGGGCTTGAACCCCAAGCTCAAATCCAGCACATATAAAATGACATGATCCAGACATCACGTTTAACCACGAAGGAGAAGATGTGTTGCATTCTGCAAAGCGAAAAGCAAATACCTGCCATGTGGTGCAGTTTCTGTGCAATTAGCTTTTTTTCATGTTAGCTCTGCAGCCATGGTAACCTCATCTGGATGAAGGCAGCCCTGCTATAATTCTGACAAAAACAAGGGTGGGGATGGGCTGTTGTAATGAGAAACATTACAAGCTGAATTTCGCTGGTCTTTCTGGGAACATCGAAGACGCAACAGTGACATCTAGTGACCGTCTTCAATTATTGACAAGGTAGATTTTATATTACACGATCTCCCATTTATACAACTGTGGATTTACTGAGGCAGTTCAACATCCCCCGCCCCCCAAACACAGATGCCCATTGAACAATATGAAATGAAACTAAGATACGGTTAATAATGGGATATTTACTGTAATAGTGAAACACAGTAGTTCCCTAGAACTGTGGGTAATGTTTTCTAAACTGATTGGAATTTTATTATTGTTTATTAAATGTTAATGCGATAAGGTTATGCTGCCATTCACCGTAATATAACCTGAGCTATAGGCCTAGCTGAAGTGGTGAGATGTGTTTCCTAATGGTGAACTCGGTTATTTGTTGGTTAATGATGATCTATATTTCTTTTCCTTGCTTTTCTTGTGTCTGCAAGCTAACGGCACAAACATGCTTGAACAACGGCAGGAGATCAAATGCGAGTGAAGAACACACATACATTTTAGCCTTTATCCTTCACGCTAACCTGTTAGCATGTTCCTGCTGCCAAACAAGTGTAAGGTGCTCTACGTGCCACCTGCATGGTGCCAAGGAATGTTCGATTTATAATGAGCCATTGTGTAATTATGAGTTTATTGAAACTGCAGTTTACAGTGAATACCTGTAGAGGGAGATGCAGTCGTATAAATTGGTTTACGCCCGGGCAGCAGGTCTTACCCGTGGTGTCGGATTAGAGTCTCCAAACATTGTTTGAACATACTGGGTTTCCTCGCCTTGAGCTGTACAGTAATGAAGGGCTTAAATTGACATAGATGGACATAATTGACAATGATATGTCACTTGTGAAGCCGCAAGATTTCTTAGAAATATGTTTATGGGTTAAATGAAAGGAACGCTGTGTCATAAAATCATTTAACACGGAAGGCTTTGATTGATTGAGAAATATTTAACAAAAAAGCAGTAAAACTGTCCAGCCCTCAAATGTTACCACACTTATATGTGTTTATATGCAGTATAGTGCGTGCAATGCTTTCAAAGATCTTTCTGTACAGTTTGTAGTGTTCAGTAAATTAGAAATTTGAAGTAGAGAGGATTTCCTTTCGTGAGGGCCACTATTGGGTGAAATTTAAGTTCTGCACAATTTCCATCAGGTAGCCTAAATGTGTAAACAGTCTGATCATTTTGGTTATTATGATATAAAACCCTGTTATTTTAAGCCTACTAAATGTGAATGAGCTCTGGGAGAATTTAATGTCCACGGTTCCACTATTCCAGCCATATCTACAGAATAATGGCAACAATAATCAAGACATACAGTAAAGTTAAAACGGTTTATTGAGTCAAAAAATATTCCAAATACCCATTATCAATTTTGCAAAACTGGAAATGGCCACTTAAATGTCAATAAAGTTCTGTTCTCTTTGTGTTCATTTGTGATGCAGAGAGGTACATTTAGAGGCTCTTTGCCATGACGATGGGCCGCATGTTAGGGTCATAATCGAGCTGAAACATTGCCCTCTATGTTTATATGATACAATTGCACGGTTTCCTTGTTGCCAATACTGTCAAGAATTTGATAAGTTGAAATATTTAACTCTTACGTGTAAATGAGTTACTCGCATAAACGAATCACTTGTACTCCCCTCTGTTTGTTGTTCTGAAAAGGTTTGGCATAAATAAAACGAAGATGAATGATATTTAACACGCCCATTTATCTCGTATAATTTCATCAGACCTCTCTTTCCACACTCCTGCTCTTTCTGGGTGATAACCAGACCTTCTCAAGCCAGCCGCGAGTCTGTAGTTATTTATAGGAAATCTTAAATTATTCTGTTTCCAACTCATTTTCATCGTTCTTAATTGCTCTTCTTCAAAGTACAGACATATAATGCAAGGCTATATACCATTTAAATAAACGTGTATGACATAGCCTTCGGAAAGTACAGATTAATCATTACCTCGACTGCCTCAGCGCAGCCCGGAGCAGCGCGCACGGTCGCAGTGTGGATAGTTACAGCCCACGCAGGCTAACGGGTCGCCATCCCACTCCGCTCCGCGGCAAATACCCACTTGCGACTTGTCCCGTAAAATTCCAGACTTTGGTAAGTAAAATAACTGCTTTATTCCTCTATGCGGCAAAACACGAAATACGTAGTTTTTATGCGGGTAAAAATTACTGCTCTGCAAAAAAGTAGAAGGTTGTATCTTTTTTAAAGTGCACTCTCACTAACTTACTGTACAAGTGTGCCCAGGATAAAATAATCATGTGATGACCAAGGATAACGCCGTTTAGACAGCCAAATCATTCTTTACTTTAATTTTGATGATTAGTCAGTAATGGCAATTGTACTAAATAGCATATTTATATTGACATTTTTTACCTGAATGCATTGACACAAATTCTGTATATACTAAACCAAGACATCAGTGAAATCACCGAAATGAACAAATATTGATTAAATATCACTGTTCAAATGACTTTCAAATAAAGCAATTGATTAAATAAGTAAATTCCTGCAATCAAACGGAAAAGCGTTAAAGAAATTCGAGTGGTTGAATGCTTTGAAGTACCACGATGTGTAATTTTCAAAATACACATAAATGTATAGAAGCGGTATCCTCTGCAATGAATAACTATGTATAACAAATCAGAATCTGGTACATTTAAACTAACACATAGTGTTTCCAGTGAATCTGTTTTGTAACCTTTACAATTTTGCTTCTTGAGGAGGTCATCACAGTAACGCCAGCGATCTGTTATTTTCAGTCAAGCGATGCATCATATTTTTCTGTTTCGTCTAAAATAGTACAACCTTGTGCAAGTTCATTTTAACAAGTGGCCTGGGACCTGCTGGTTTGCTCGGGGTACGCTGAGTGGATGGACAGAGCAGGCACTGTGCCCACAGACTGGCAGGCCTGCTCAGATCGAGTTAGAGCTGAGTGGATGGACAGAGCAGGCACTGTGCCCACAGACTGGCAGGCCTGCTCAGATCGGGTTAGAGCTGAGTGGATGGACAGAGCAGGCACTGTGTCCACAGACTGGCAGGCCTGCTCAGATCGGGTTAGAGCTGGGTGGATGGGCAGAGCAGGCACTGTGCCCACAGACTGGCAGGCCTGCTCAGATCGGGTTAGAGCTGGGTGGATGGA